GCATTCCAGAAGTTGTTGGTGCGTTTGGAGAATCGCCCTCCGTTTGGTAGGACTAGGAACTGTGTATACAAAATAAAATATAACGATTGTACGAAGGTTTATATAGGTCAGACAGCCAGGGAGTTGCACACCAGAATCGGTGAGCATAAGCGTTCCATTAACAAACCACCGAGAAACGCAGAGGAATACCAAGCGTTAGTCGAAGATTCAGCAATGGCAGGGCATGCTCTAGACACTGGGCATAAGATAGATTTAGAAAATATGGACATCCTGAGACGGGGTTTAAGATTCACACCACAGCGACTGGTGGCCGAGGCGGTGGAAATCGCCAAGCATCCCAGTGTGAATAGAATAGAGGAGGTAGAACTTGCAAACGTGTGGAGAGCGGTCTTCGATCAGCCGAGATGACACGAGGCGGTGTGCAGTTATCAGCGAAATCGCCTGGGTCTAAAAGTACAAAATCCAAGTAGCGTTAGATCCAATTAACCACCCCACCCCCATTCCCAAACTAATTGTCCCAGCACCCTTGGACGAACACAGGTGAACGAAATCTGTGAACGACCCTAAGAGGAATTTTCCATTAAGGTGTCCTAGACTGAAGAAGCAGGGACGAAGAAATCCGGGTTCATCATAAAGACGAACCCCCCCTAACCGATCTATCGTAATGCTTAGTCATCCCACTAATCAACAAACAGGGACATCAGACTGAAGACCCAGCACTGATCACGTCACTAGTCATAAGGAATCTCACGGACTGGTTTCCTGACTGCCTTAAAGCCCAGTCAACCTACTTACTTACTCACTTGGCCTGACGAAGCTTTTGTGTCAAAAGCGAGACGTTGCCCAGCAATAAATCCACCAATTGTTTATCAAACCCCTCTGAAACACTTACGTAGTGGTTTTTTGATCTTAGGCATGTATTGACCTTGGCTAGTAACAAAATTTGCGAGATATAGTCACTTACCAACCTCATGTCACACAGCGAACTTTCTATTCGCTTTCGTTCGTGCCGAATGGGATGCATGTGCTTTCAAATTGAGCAATCGGATCGCCCTGATACAAACAAGCTGACTGGGTCGACTATCGCCGTCGCATTCCTATCGGGTATCAGCGCACTTGGATTCGCCGTCTTTACCGCTGGATTGAACTTCAAAGTGTTTGAGCTCCGCAGTGTAGTGAAACTAATACCTGAATAGACAACGTGACATTATTTGCAAACGGTTCTCTTCAGTCTGGTGCTGAGTAAGTCACGAGATGCTAGGCTGTAACCTGTAACTGGAGATGTCGAAGTACGGCAAAACAAATCATACAATATGTATCTCTACAGTGGACACCTATTGTGACTGTCGGACTTCTGAAAAGATTCTGGTACTCGCTTGGCTAGGATTCTACCGGGCACAGCCGGCAATTTGACGGTGGTGGCCTGCTTTATTCTAGCACCTTCATTATTAGTGGGTGCGAACTTTATATCGACTTATATTTTTTTGCGGAGACGGGTGACCCTGTCCGCAATGTTCCCACCCATCTCGATCGACTGCAGTTTGACAAATTCCATCAGCGCGCGCTTTTCGTGGGTTATACTTAGACCGGTGATGTACGCTTTCACTAACTTTGCAACGTACTTATTTCCAGCATGGGCTGATGGTACGGGCCACCATGTCTCTTATAGGAACAGGACAAGCCCATGCATTGCATTTTTGCACCTCACCGAAGTCGGTGAAATCTGTCGATAGGTTGTCAGTCTATTTAATTATGGCAATCTGGTGATAAGTAGCCTTCTGCCGCTACCCGACTATGACTACCTCGCCCGTACGTATGTCCGTCAAGGTACGACGCTGAAGAAATCACCGTACTTTCAGTACGCAGGAACCAACGGCAGTCCGGGCGCGACCCTCATTTCGAACATTGATGTCTTTTACTTAGGCTGTAGAAGAATGGGGTTAACGAGGTGCAGTCCTGATGGTTGACCCAGCTCCGCTGCACGGCCAGCCGAAACCGAAGCCTAGTTAACTATCTGTAGTCGAAAAACAGTAGTAATCAACTTCAACGCATGTGTCGAAATCACTACCTCTGACCGGGCGCTCTCGGACGCCATGTTATTTGGACCACTGGTGACCGACTTGTTAGGTGGTGCGCCATCCACTTGTTTGCCACCCGATTTTGTCCCAAGGAGCGACAGCTTGTCTCATGGACACTCATGCTGGGATCAATCCCGCCCACTCGATTACGTCTTTACTCGCCAGACGGATGTTCGAGGAGTTCCCACACGAGCGCTGTGAGCAACCTATCCGAACGAGGCTAAACATCCGACTTTTGAGGCTACCCCATACCATCCCTGCCAACAAACGCATGAAGTTTGACGTAAAGCGGGTGGAAAAGTCGCGTGTTATAAATTGCAACCCCTGTGGCGAGCTTCTTCACCTATTATTATCAAAAAGCACTGTAGCTTGATGCAGCCATCAAGAGTGACAAAGAAAGAGTGATCTCAAAACTTTTCGCAAGGTCACGCTAGAATCTTCCTGATATGTTGAGAAGCACTGACTGGTTCATAATTTCACCACCAACCCTTCCCTACGTACCACTACGCTCCCTAACAACGCACTGATGATAGCGCTCCGATTGGTGATGAAACATTTGCAGTCGAATTGCCCAGCTCAGCGAACAAACCAACAACCATGCTCTCGCCAGTTAGGGCATATCTTTTGGTTCATAACCGGTTCACAACTTTCGATCGACTTGGCGGTCAGTCATTTCGAGCGGCTCGCCCTTGCATCGTCAAGAGGTTGGTACAAAACGGAAGCAGAAGTAAACTAAATAAACAATCAGTACTTGGGATGAGCACTTCAAACTGTTGGGTTGCAATGGACAAACTGCCTCCAACAGCAATGGTACGCCTGTTGGAGAGCAAGGCGAAGAAAACACTCAATAGCAGATAAGCACCAGGATAGGACATGCCTGCAGCAGGACTCTTCACCTGATTTTGGAGAACACACTTTCCTAACTGACGGGCATTCTGTTGTCGAAAGAGGAATTCAAAGATACCACCTTCTGGAGAAAAAAAGACGCAAGACTTCATTATGCAAACACACAGGTGTCAGCCTGGTGAGTTATGCGGACAAGCTTTTACTATGAACCCCAATCTATTACTTGGGCTCTGTGGACAATTAGCCTTCCGTGATTCAAGGCAGTTTCAATAAGGATCCCGCGGACATCTCCAGTCACTGCGCACTCGTTGTATAGGCTTTCTATTTCGCTAAATATGAAGCACTGTGGACAGTCGTTGTTGAATGCTATCCGCAAAACTTTGTTGATTCACCTAGAATGTACACGATGGAATGAGGACAGAGATGCTAAACACTAGGTCAACTTCGACGGGTCTTGAAGTCTTTACGGACATAAAACGAAGACGGGCTTGTCCGTTTCAGTGCCTTTCGTGTACTATGACTTTGGCGTACAGTTCAAATATTGTTTTGGTGGATGTCTGTTCAGTGTCACACATTTTGGTGCAAGGAATCTCTTTCACCAGATTGGATTTCGCGTTCTCAAGTTCCAGAGACCAGTGTTTGTGCACATGCTTGGTCAGTTGCAACAGCCAGAGGAACCACACCTGTTGTCCGGTCTCGAATTTCCTTGTCAGCGCACAAAGCTGTCCCAAAATGTTAGTAACACGAGTATTCATCCACCTAAAAGTTTACAAACCAAAGTGAAAAACTTTATCGGACTCGGTAAAAAAAGCCACCACTTGTGGTTCCTGATACTCGTGGGGGCTGTTTAATACAACCGTTTCGTTCAGCAGGGTGTAATGGATCCGTTCGGGAATTTGGTTAATAATTCGATGAGGAATTGGGAATTGTCTCCAAATGTCAAGTAGTGCCCTTTTTCGGGGTTTTTAGTGTGTCGTTTTTGAAGTGATTTACAATAAGGTAAGTTAATTGGATTTAGAAGCTGACATTTGCAGTAGAAATCACCGGCAAAATACTCACACTGTAAATATTACCCCGTTATGTACTTGTTCCAACGATAGGATGTGATGGATAACTCGGCTAAAAAGGTTATAATCGTTTAGTTGTAACCCCCTTCCAGTGCCTAACCGCCATGCCATCCGAAGGAAGCACGATGCCTGGGATACTGCCAGGTTGCCCAAGCCTAGACAGGGGAAGTCGAGAGACAGAGATCGGGTTCGAAACACCGACCTTCCAGACAGTAAAGTCGCGCTCTAACCACTGAGCCATCCCGCCCTCGGATTAGTTTGTAGAGACCTGTGATGAGTTGAAGCCATTTTCAGAAATATCCGCTGCTCTCAAAGACCACTATTCGTCAAAAGAACCAGGACAACACAGGATAGCATGTTTTCACGACTGAAGGTATCAGGCTTGCTCGTCACTAATTTTATCAAGTGCAGTCCAGGAGCGCTAGATTTTACCACCCTTGTCCACCATTGCATCAAATTGTCCAGCTTCGACAACCTTTCGGTGCATAGCTGCCACACCACCCCAAGGAAGCATGAAAGCTGAGACGCTGTCAGGTTCCCTGAACCTAGACACGCACATACTAGAGAAGAATTATAATACATAATATACCTTAGACTAATAACACCGATACTATTATTGCTGCTTATTTTTAAAGAGCTTGGTCACAAACATAAAAAGTAACTTTAGGCGATAGATATGAGAGGGTCTACGGGAGATTATTAGATAAAATGAGGAAAGCACCCTATTCGAAGTCGTGTGACCAACAGTTCCAGTCAGACAAGATAAGTCCCAGCGTATGTAAGAATGTTGTTGTGGAAACGTGTGCAAAAAACCAGCAACCGGAGGAACGACAATGCTAAATTCTGCTATTCATAAGGTTGCTGAAAATTCTTCGACAGTCCATAACCGGTTTTGCCTTTTTTGGAGGTAGGCGCAGTCCTCGAGTTTCCGTCAAACTTATGTTCTACTTGAACCCAAATTGCCCGAAGTTAGCGAAATGCAATCATTTTCAAACCAATTTGGTTTTGCGGGAGACTCATTTGGAACCCATCCGAATCTCTCGTTTTTATGATGCTTTTATGCAGCTCAATGTGCTGCACCAGGTCGCCTCATGTTTCAGTTCGTACGATATTTGAGATATCGCGATACATGTATAGATGTAACACACAGCCCAGCACATTCAGTTGCTTGAAAATAAAGGGGATGTCCAAATATATTATGGTATCTGTCGAACCCAGAATATTGATGAGTTCCTCGGAGAAGCAATGAGGTTCGACTGAGACCACTGTCGTCTGTCCCCACAAATCCTCATTACTTTCATCTTTCGGGGCGAGATGGCTCAAGTGGTTAGAGCGCGAATTTACTAACTGGAAGGTCCGTGGTTCGAACCCGACCTCTGCCTCTCGACTTCCCCTGTCTAGGCTTGAGCTACCTGGGAGTATCCCAGCCCTCGTGTTTCCTTCGGGTAGCATGGCAGCTAGGCACCGGAAGGTGTTACAGCTGAGAGATTTTTTTTATTTATTTACTTTATATCTTACGAGCTCTCCCCAACTTGACCGCAGCAGCTTCAAGCGTATCTTTAAGGTGAGCCTGACTTTCTGCACACATGACTCAGTCGTTATCTAAGGTGAAACCATCCACCATGTTATCATGGGACTGGTATCCTAGTTGCAGCATCGGCAATCCAAGCATTTAATCCATTACCATGATGAACGATAATGGAGAGAGTGGATCTCTCTGCTTTGCATCTCTGTGGCAGTGAACCTCGGAACCGGGGAAAGCTACCATAGCATTCTCACAAGACTGCGCAATGTATCGAAACAGAGGTGACGGTTTTCCAAACGCCTCCGCAGATCCGACAATTATGCCATTGGAAACCGTATCTTACACTTTCGATATATCAACACACGCCAAGCCGAGGTTAGAAGCAGCTTCCAAACAAGCGTCTCGGTGTAGAAGTACAAGCAGGATTGAGGGCAGTTGCAGTTTGTTAGTACTGCCACTACTACTGCTAAAAATAATAATATGAAAAATTCACTCTGGTCGCCACGAGACTGATGACCGGATTTAGTAATCAACTGGAGTCCACCTTCGCTTCTCGAAATACATTAGAGAGACAGGTGGAGTGCTTGCTTTCAAGGCACTGTGTGATGCACAGTGAGAATTTATACGCCAGCTTGAAATTCGCTGAAGTGCGGTAAGAATTTTTCTCAAAACGACGATATCTATTTTATTTATGTACGATACGTTACCGTCTGATCTGGGTAAACTGTAAGTCATGTATTAGTATGGATCCGCAGTAACGACGAATCTCAAGCTAGTACTACTATCTTCTCAATTACAGAAGAAAATCCACTTACACTACCAACCAGTTTTTCGCCAACCTGCGAAAATTTGTAACACATGGGTTCTATATCCATGTGCTTGCTATGATTTATGTTCCGATACATGCTCATTAATGGTGCATGGAGAGAGTTTTGGAAACTTTATGTTTACTGGTTTACGTTTCTCGAACTCTAGAAACCTCGAAACCTCGAATTGAAGTAGAGCGCGAAACAGGAGCACCATTTATGAACAGTTGCGCCCGGCAAGGTGCAGCAGTGTGTTCTGTCCATAGTCGATCGTAAAAACACTGGAAATATGGTGAAACTAACGATCTTTTTACTATTGGCTGTATGTGGCTGAACCGATGTTTGTCTGCTTACTTCTGTGTGCGATGTGAAAAGAAAATATGTGGAAGAACCGAACTCAGTTTGATCACGGCCACTCACCGCCGACACCGTGTTCCATGCCGTTTTGCACTGATGAGTTCATTCCTGTTTCCCGCCTCAGTGGATAGGGCATTTTTCACAACTTACTTGGGTTTTGGTTTATCCCACTGGGGTGAGACGGCCCAAGTGTTTAGAGCGCGAATTTACTGACCGGAAGGTCCGTGGTTCGAATCCGACCTCAGCCACTCGACTTACCCTGTCCAGGCTTGGGCAACCTGGCAGTATCCCAGCCCTTGTGCTTCCTTCGGGTAGCATGGCAGCTAGGCACCGGAAGGGTGCTACAGCTGAACGCTTCTCTTTCTTTCTTTATCCCACTGTAGCAGCGAAATGTTTGGATGTCCCAGCTCCGGTTTGCGATACACTTTTTCGTTTTTCTAACGTTCACAGGGCTGTTGGAATGGAGAGCATCACCTGCTCAGCGGATTTGAGCTGGCCAACCACCTCTGGCTTTGGCGCTTCCGAAGAACTCTCGAACCACGTTGATGGGCTCAATAAGTCGTCCTCTGCCACAGGAACTATCGAGCGAAGTGTAACTGGTCCTGGCATCGTACCGCTAAGATTGGCCCACCTCTGTCGTGGACTCACTCTACCCGATGTGAATGGGTGTTGTTTCGAACTGCACAGCCCGGACGGTCGAAGATCCTGTCTTCTTCGAGCACCAGATCCTCAAGAAGCTCGTAACTGGTTCCAAACACTTCATGCACGAATGAGAGCGTTGAACGATGAGTACCTGGCTGAGTTAAATGGCCTTCTTCCGGCGACGCAGGTACATAACAAATTACTAATAAACACCCATATTCCACAGTAGTATGCATTGATTTTCACCGATTTTCACTGATCTGCGCTTTTACGTCATCATATGATTTATAGGATAATAGGCGACGCGTAGTTGTTAACACATTGTGGCTACTATGAATTGCTTGCATACATGACCGGACATATCAGTTATGCGCCAATCCCCAACTTTCACCAAAAGCAGAATACAATATTGCAGACGCCTGTGGTGATTAATCATGTCCAGAAAAACCCTTAGAACGGAACTTTCCGATTCCTTCCGCGTAGCTTAAATCCAGTGTAAGGGCCTCAAGAAAAGTGGCTGACAAATCAGCCGACCAGTGTACTTCCTGTTTTCTTTCCTGCTTGAAAATACCACCTGAAGGAAATGATGAAAAGAGGTTTATTCCTACTTGTGGTCTCTTTTGAGAAGCAGTGAATGACAACAGTGTATGACACCTCTGCTTACACGCCTTATAGCTAATAATCCACTTGACATTTCAGGTCCGAGTTCACCTTAGATCCTTTGAGGACAATCCATTGAACCTAAGCTATCATAATAAATCAGTATCGTGTTGAATGACCGGAAGCTACCCGTTTTAAATTGAGAGGTGTCCTTGCTATTTCGAATGGCTATATGGACTTAAAGGTAGGGAATAGTCTCAGTTGTATCAATATCGAGGGCTACAAGATACCGTGTGAATCCGGCTGAGATAGAATGGAATCGGATATGGAGTGCAGTCTCTGACCGGAGTCGTCAACATTGCACCCCTATACTTCACACTTGATCCCTAGAACTACACACTACATAAATTTCGTTTGTGCTGCCTAAGATGTGTCTATTGGACTGACAATTTTTCTGGAGAAAGTAAACACCTCGTTGTGTATTGTTAAGGCGGATGACGTTTTGTTCTTTTCTGGAAATTAAATCGTTCATACAGCTGGTTTGTCATGCAGTAGCATAACGGGGGTGCACCGGTATTGTGAGCGCTATTCACTGCGTCAGTTCAGTCTACTTGAAGTGGACACATGGTTCTGTGATTCCACTAGATGCAAACAAGATCTTTCGTCACAACTAAGCCTTGTTGGAGATGGCTTTCTAAACGGGTGTGTGGTTATCGTAATCAGTATTGGTACAGAAAACAGCACTGTGCCAAACAGCAATAGGAACTGTGGGTCTGATTCTAAAGCATTTCAGTTTAGGTACAGCTTAAATGTGATAATACGATCAGTAGTATCAAACTAAAGCAATTCGGTGGGCTGTGTGGGATAGTTATAGCCTACCGTGGCGGTATTTCTATGGTGATAAATTAGTGCATTTAAATGAACTTACGAAACAGACAATGATGTGAAGGGGGAAACGACAACGGAAAACGTTCGCAAGGGCTATCAGACTATCAGCGAAAACGAATGAACTTAAACATACCGTATTACACACCAAGGGTGGTAAGCAGCCGTGAACCGCACCGCAGAAAGTCGCATTTCCAAATGAACCACATTGCGGACCGTCAAATCTATAGTGTGCGCGAACTGTATTATGGTCAGTCAAAGGAATGCAGGTCAATAGGAAGGGAAAAGTGACCCTGAAAATGTTCTTGATTGAATGACCGTGGGCACGTGCTGATTGGATTGACCCTCGTCACATGTCTCCTACCCAGGTGAGTATCGCCATCATCACATCAGTGTTGATACCGATGCTTCACTGCCGTACAACCATAAAGTTTATCTTATTATACTTAAAGCCTTAGAGTGAAAAGAAGGGAAAAGAATGGGTGAGCGTGAGGACCTAGTGCTTGAGGTGTCCATACTTCCAAGCGCTCGGTCAATCTGGAAAGACTAACAGAACGAACTCTACTGAATATCAGTTAGCCGCCGTTTCTTGCAATGTCTCCAACCAAGCACAGGAGGGGTCAAGGGGACGCCATCCTGGAAGGCGGGTGGATAGTGCTCTGAAATTCGCCCTGATCCACGTTGGATTCCAGGCAAGTTCATTTCCCCTTACAGGGAAGGTCAGTCCCAACGGTAACATGCATAGACGGTGGTTACGGGTACGAGATGTGAGCAAGCGGCTAACTGTCCACCAATCGAAGGTTTTATTGAATAGAATAAAGGGACAGTAGTAAAAGTTTATTGGGAAAACACTAGGAAGTCAGGCTATTCAGCAGCAGCCTGATACCACATAAACTCTGAACATTCGAATGGCTATAAGGAATCAACATTCAGATGAAGCCTTGACTTCAGCTGGCAGTAGTTCTTCATGAACGCGACGCCCATCCCTATCTGTCTGTTCATATGAAATCCATCACTCTCCCAATCTTCAGAGCATTGAAGTTTTCATGACTGGTCACCTTGCGAGATGGGACGATGTCTATTACTGACGTGACTCCATGTCAACTTAAGTGATAAAACTGCGAACGGTAACTGACCTCAACCATAGTCGGTGATATTGATAAACTGTAAAATCCGGGGCAGTTGGTAATCGACAGGGGTAGTCGATTCGTGTACAACCGTCAGTGCCAGTTGACCTTTCGGGGTTATTGCCGCCCTTACCAGCCGCCATTACCAGCAAACTCAGCTGCGCTGGTAATTGCCGTCTTCCTGGATGGGGACCCTGAGACGGGCCACATCAATGGCTAGAGACATTGTCAGACATGGCCCAGTCGCGCCCTTAATGGCGCTCGTGGATCCAAACTATTGCCTTCAATGCATAGCTCCTTTTCCAACCCCCCCCCCCACTTGACAGCCCACTGACAGTGCTGGATTTATGTACCAATTTATCAGCTCCCGCCTCCAATGCGCAGCTACCTACCACTCCCCCTCCCCACATCATCGGTGAACGAAACTGCGGCAGCTACAACCACTGTACGACGAGTACGCGGTTATTACAGCTGACAATGATGATGATGATGATGATGATGATGATGATGATGATGATGATGATGATGATGATGATGATTGCCGCCCTCAATTAATGGGGACCGATTCCGGTCGAGCGAAACACATTTCCTCTAGATGGACATTGTTTGGGATCGCTCAATTTCGTTGTGTTGAGGTCACGAGTCCAAGGAGCACTCAACCCACTGGCGCTCACATAGCATAAGGGTTCTGCGGTCTACTAAACTTGGTTTCAGTCACTTAATGCATTGAAGATGCATACATTTAGAATCAGTAATGAGGTAGGTTCATCGTATGAATCTGGGAGTATCAGACGGTTAGAGTGTTCCCACCTCTAACTGTTTTCGCTTTGGGATAGACCCGCCTGAATTAGGCAGGTGGTCCACAGAGCTTGCGTTCACGCTCCGCTTTTCCGTGTGTGTACGCACGGCAAAACCGTTTGGTAGTGGCAACGTAAACTGGTTCGCACTAGGGCCAGTTACTATAGAGCCAATGATACTATGGTCGTTCAGCTGCAACATCCTGTCGGTGCTTGGCTGCCATTCCACCCGAAAGGAGCACAAGGGCTGAGATACTGTCAGGTTGTTCAAGCCTAGAGGGAAGCAGTCGGGATGTCGGATTTGGGTTCGAACTACAGACCTTTCGATTGGCAATCTCACGCCCAAAAACACTGATCTATCTGGAGCTTGGATGATATTATAGAAGCGATCAATCTGTACACCACTGGGAACCGGATGGCTGAATTTTAGTGCTACTTAAAGAAATAGCCCCGAGAAAATCATGGTTGTGTTTCCACGCAGGATGATGAACACCCAATCGATATCTTGCGCGACGCACAACAATTCCATCTCATTTCTGCGGAATACGACTGGAACCATTCTACGGGCGTTTCACATTTTTTTCTGCATTGACGGTTGGATGGAGTTTCCCTTTTCGTCTGAAGTGAATGCCAGTCTCGTATGTACTTGACTGGCGCGAGATGATGAATCTGCGAAAGGGTTGTTCATTAAGATTCTGGTGGTTCTTCTATCTAGTTAGGCTTCGATGGAAACCGCCGAACACCATGCATGATCCGGAAGAGGCACAACAGCGAAATTCGTCATAATTACTGGGGAGAGGTGTTGACGTTGTTTTCTCCCGTACAGGTGTATTATTTTCATCCTGTATCTCAACTCTGAAATGCTTTACTGGACGGTGCTGTGTTTGCATCCAAGGTTAAATTATCTACTAAGTCGAGTTCATTCCAGTCATAGACAGTTCGCTGATTCGGCGGGTTAGTGTGCTGTGCTTATGACAAACTCTGAGTCGATAGTCGACTACCGAATCAGGGTTCCTTAACCGTGAGTCATCATCACCATTGATGGCAGCACCAGATGAGAGTACTGGTGCTTTACTGCCGTGAATACTTCGATGGGAACTACTACTTTTTCGGCAAAAAATCTGATACGAAATCTGACGCGAATGATATAAGTTTCGAAGTAATCAGTAATGGTTAAGGGTTCCTAAATGTACATCCTAGCGTACATTTCCGTTCCGAAAAGAACTCAAGAAACTATACTATGCTACACACCGTCATCCATGGGTAACCCAGCAGGTCTAAACAGAACTCGATCAGCGTGGAATACGGCTAGGGCGCATTGAGTATCATTTTGAGTCGGGATTATTAGCTTAATCGGACTGCATTAATTGTATTTATCGATTGCCATACTGAGAATGCCTGATCTGCTACCCCACCTATCTCCAACTCAAGGAACTGAAACAACTCGATTGGCTGGTTGAACTTCGAGTTAGTGGAGCCATTCCATTCACCGACCTTGCTGACCAACCTGGGGAACGCTATGATGTCACTGGCAATCCGGTGCCCATCACTTCCACATCGACCTTGGTCCATACTACGTGGAAACCCGTGTTTGCGGCGCTTTCTGATCGTGATTTGTTGCTCTACGATACCGCACCGACTACAAAGGAGGAATGGGCTAATCCTTCACAAGCGCATCCACTAATTGCCACTCGACTTGTTCGCACGGCGGAACACCACAACGGAACCGGTGAAAGCGACAATCCCAAGTTTGCTCCCCAGCCACCCGGGGATATGCTCACTTTCTCAACCAGAACAGGTGCGTCCCGTGTTCTCCATCCCAACCCCTGGTGGTTTCACTTCGTTTAGTAACGAAACAGCAACCAAATCGCCTGACTCAACAAACAGACTAACAGGCACCTATGCAAGGTTCAGTTCTCATTTTGAGACACAGTGGTGAGCATGGTCGGTCGTCGAATATGGGGTATTTATGAACACATTCGAACAGATATTCAAGGGTGGGGTGTAGATAACGTGTGACATTTTTTGTCGACTTGTAAAGTGTGGGAATGGACAAGTGTACAGATTAACTAGTGATTAACAAATTCGAACTGAGCAGTTTGGGAAACTTGAGTCCAGAGTCAGAGTTTGGTTTAAACCTCCGCTTAACCCTACCGTAGACATGGGATTTTCCGGACCTCGATCGTTCTGGTTTTCTCCAATAGACCGTCAAATATGAACATTTGCCCATGGAAGTTAACAAAAACCACGCAATATTTTGCCTTTTTTACGTGTCCAGCGAATGGCTCATTCAACATAACACCGAAAACTCCAAAGTCCAGTTGTATTCTTATCAGTTGCTGTCATGTACTAGAGCATCGTCAATTATGCGAATTGCACATGATACTTTTTAAGTAGCTTGAACAGGTCATTTATGGACGACTTCACCGTACATATTGAGTCCGAGTGGCAAATAGCACCAACGAGATAGCTTAAACGGTGTAGCGAAAGCCGTAATGTGGTTGGACTCTTCGTTTCCAGTTGAAAAGACGCTGAGGACAGGACCACTCTTGAAGAAACCTCCACTCTTTTCGAAAAAGTTTGGTGACAATCGGGAGATTTATTGCTGGGCAACGTTTCGCTTTTGACACAAAAGCTTCGTCAGGCCAAGTGACTAGGTTTCGAGGTAATTGAACAAACCTCCACTCTGTTTTATTTTGGTAAATATCATCCTATCTGAGGGTTTGCTAGTCCTATCGTCACAAAATGAGGTCCAGTGCCTTGAGATCAATGTATGGTGTGCTCGGCCTTGACTTTTTCAATGTTTCAAGCCATTTGTAGGCAACTGGATGGGACTGCGTAAAATGATCAATTTCATCTCCTTAAGTACACTTCCTTTGCATACCAATTTAGTTTTGACGGGAGACCCGTCTATAACGCAGCTGGATCTCTCGTTTATGGTGTTGCCCTCAGTCGCTGTGCTAACAAGTAATTTAGTTTGACGGGAGACCCGTCTATAACGCAGCTGGATCTCTCGTTTATGGTGTTGCCCTCAGTCGCTGTGCTAACAAGTGTGAATCCATGGGTATTCGTGGAAACGTTGGCATGCAGCATTCAGTGATAAACCGCAGGGTTCCATGACAGCAAACGAGTTTGCTTTTATAAATCATCCGCTTTGGGGGTTTGAATAATAAGTTTTCATTACTGCTTAGGATACCTAGAGCTACACGTGAGTAGGCCTAACATCAGCTATTTTTAGTTTTCAAAACGCGGCGTTTCCGAGTCAGGTGCCAATGTTTTTCTGGCTTTTGGATGGAATATCACTTTCATACTGACGGGACGCCTACATCATCGAGCGCAAATGTTCCTTGAGGGGATGGTCTTTTTCGAATTCAGCGACTTCTCAGCAGCTGAGGATACCAAAACCACAAGGTGCAATAGAAGCCTTTGTTAGTTTTATTCACAACGAACTCTGAACGAATACAGTCGGATGTGCAATGCAACGGTGAACTCACACATAACCGCCACGTACCATAAATGGAAGTGTTAAAATCACTACGGAACACCCTTTTGATTTTCGCTTGCCGTTTAACGTTGCGTTCTCATCGGATGGGGGCAAGATGGCCCAATTGGTTAGAGCGCGAATTTACTGACCGGAAGGTCCGTGGTTCGAATCCGACCTCCGCCACTCGACTTCCCCTGTCCAGGCTTGGGCAACCTGGCAGTATCTCATCCCTGGTGCTTCCTTCAGGTGGCATGGCAGCTAGGCACCGAAAGGGTGCTACAGCTAAACGCTTTCTTTCTTTCTTTCTTTCTTTCTTTCTTTCTTTCTACTCACGATGCCTAGGTTGAATTTCACTGTTCTGTGGAATCTAGTGAAGTCTATGGAAATCTGGTACTAACGTGAGATAGGATACAGACGATACACCACACATGAGCCGTCTGGCCTTATCTACTGAATGGTGGTTGTGGCATTTTTAACTGGTTTCCTATCAAATTGACTCAAGTGAAGAAAGCTGTTATGAAAGCGGTTTCCTCGTGGAGGATGTGTGCTGTTGATAGTTTCCGCTTGCGTCTGTTGGGTTGTACCCAAGAATGGTGGCTAAATGCTCCCCAACCTCCGGAGAGGATTTCAAACCTTCCAGGAGGTTTGGAGGCCACATCCCAAGGTTTTACACTATATAACCTGCGAGCCCACTCATTTTTGTGTGTAAAGGATACAAAGTTCGCTCTACTCCTTTCGCTATGGAAAATATTAATGCGATCTACCATTAACCTTGTGTTGTACTTGACCCTTCGGGTCAGACAACGTTGAGGGAGTATCGTCCTTGTTCATATGCTGCGAGCTTGCATGTGGTTAGTGATTTGGATTCATCTCTCTATGTATCCCAATGCTTTCATCAATGTTGACTTCGAAAAAAATCACGTGTATCCCTTGAGTGAATCGTTTGTGCTACTGCATTAGATCGTTTTTTCCTAAAGGGCATTCCCCAGCCTGGGGCTACCGATTTTTTTCATTCACAGTGACGAGGAAGTACTGAATTGTCAATTGACGGGGATGCTGAATGTAGACAGGTTCAAAAAGTTGAGGTTGTTCGAATTCGACACGAAAAATGCCGTGCAGTTTTTGTCCAGTATCAGGAGAAATCCATGTCACCTAATAGGTCAATTAAAATCATCCGCATGGACATTTGGTCGGTATGAAGTTGACTGGCATTTCTAGTACGTAGCTCGACAATTTTGCAAAGCCCCTTTTGATGTTTCATCCTCAGAAAACGTGACCGTCGCAAACGATAGTGAATTAGTCCATTCTTTGAATAACTGCACATAGTTTTAAGGTATCAGCTGGTAGGAAATTTAAAGTTAAATCTTCGACGCCGTTGGATGAACTTTGTATTAGAGGTTTCTCACGTTTATGTAAATGGATTAATGTGCCTTTTTATTTTTTATTTTCTCCAGGAAGCAAGCACGGTGTCGAAACTCACACGTTTGCCGTACTGACAGCGGGTGACTGGAATATCTGGTGCCAATCTATCATTGACGGTGCTCACATGGCTGTGGCTGCTGCACGAGAAGTTGTTATCACCTGTCGCTGGCAAAGAAAAGATTGTCGCCTGGCCCTAAACTACGACAATGGAATAACGCTATCTTCACGAAACTCCGTCAACGATTACGGCACGCAAACCAGCACCACAAACGGAACACAGAGGTCAAATCAGATAATGTGGCACTTTCCATACGAACGACTGCGCTCGACTGCGGATGACGGCCGTAGTCTTTTGTGGATCGATTTTGGTTCCGAAGGAGAAGTTGTACGTGATTACCATTATGCGTTGGGAAAAATCTATCGGAATGATTAAGTCACACTGATAGGGACTCTGATATGTAAATTTAAGCGTGACGACCTAAAAGTTTTCAGTATGCTGGACGTGCGAACCGAACAGAGAATTTCGTTGCTCACGATCATAAATTCTATTGCGAGGCTTGAGTACAATCGTCAAAGCCTAACATTGTAGGCTGTTTGAGGAAAGGGACCGGATGGAGTATCACAGTTAGCCGGAAAATGACTGCTGTTTCGTAAACTGTAATAATCAGTTGTATAAGAGGATTGTGCGCACTTAAACCACTTCGTTTCGTGATGAACCCCGAATTCGAACTATTCAATCTGTAAATCAGTCTAACAATATACCCACGCCGAGGGAGAAGTAGTAGCTTCCTTAAGCCTGGTGTTGCAAAACTAATGAATAAACCATCAACTAAGTGCCGTGCCGCACAGGATTGCACGACTTTTATTAGAATTTGATATATGATGGTTGCCGAAGCTCCATTTCAGGTGACTCCTATGGATTCAAGACACTACTCAAGAGGTTCACAACAATGACTCCACATTTAGAAGCGGAGCCGAAATTTGCCAGACTGTTTTAGCTGAAAACCGCACACTCTGATCGCCCAATGGTTCACCGTGACCGCCGGTGCATTATTCAGTATGGTGGTAATACTTTTAAAACCAACGAGTCCGATGCTGGTCAATAGGTACCTACCTCATGAGAGACTGCAAAACCTTACTCCCTGTGTCCTCGGGCTAGACCGATCCCCTACAACCAAATGTGTCAAACTATTGAGTCATTGGCTCCGGAAAGGGTCCCCCAAGAAAACCCTAACAACCGCTGTCTCCTGGTCCAGATTCTTGAGTCACAAGCTAGGGGCGGGGACTACGAATAAAACCTTACATCCTCCTACTGTTTTATGGGTCAGACTTTTGAGTCAAAGGCTCAAGGTGGGGTACCTCAACCAAACCCACTTTTCTGGCCTGGGCAACCGGAAAGTATCATTTGCCCTTGCAGCTCTTCGCTCTCTAGCCTTTCACACCCTTCATACAATGTAGTGCAACCTATCCACCTACCACCCTCCTAGCCACTGCTCGGTGTCTAAAGCTTATCCCAGAGAAATAAACCAAAATAATTACTTAATAACCTCAAAAGATTTGATCCACATTGCAGCCTTTAATATCCACATTTTTTGTCAAACTGGACAACAGGCATCCTTGCCTGTTGCTGTGTGTTGATGTATGTTGTGTCTCCAAAACACGCATAAAAGACTCCGTTTCGGTCGTACACATCAAGCCGTTTAGGACGAGCTCAGATGTTCTACACTTCACTCTTGGGGTTTCTGGTGATCCTGACGCAAAGACTCGTGGTATCTACGGTGTGAGAGTTGCACTCAGCCTCAAGGCTGAAAGCGCCTTACTGAGCTGTATCCCAGTAAACAGTCGCCCTTGCACTGTGCGGTTGTCTGGCTCAATTAAGACCAATGCAGGTCGGTACGGTAAACGGTATTTGTCGTATCAGCGTACACCCCAACAGATTGCAGTTCTGAGACTGGGAAGGGCGAGTTTTATCCTGATCTGCCACGACTGCTCCACTCGGCAAGAAGGACAGATATAATAATTCTGGAGGGTGATATCAATGCCCATGTGGGACGACTAAGTCCGGAAGAAGCCCAGTTAGGTGGTCGATTTGGAGTCCATTCTGAGCGTACGGATAATGGGAAGCGACTTCTCCAGTTGTGTGCACATCATCCTCTGTTACTGGCCAGTAAGAACTATGACAAACGTTCACATCGAGTTACTCGGAGGCCACCTACCAGAAGAAAGTCATGGACTCAACTGGACCATGTGGTTATCAGTTACCGATGGAGAGCCTCGATTAAGTATTATTGTCTTTCTTCTGGGGTGCGGAACTTGAATCCGATCTCGCCATCATGCACGCCAAGTCGATACTGCTCTTTTCTTCAGCATTACGCGTGCCAAAGGAGAGCAGCTCCGTTCATCAAATTCGACGAGTTTTAGGAGCCGAAGAGTATTGAGCTGATCTGGTTAGAAAGCTACTGGAAACGCACAGTCATGCGAATGACGAAGATTGCGTGGAGATTGAGTGGAGGCGAGTTAAAGAAGCAATACTCTCAGCTTTCACAACTGTTTGTCCAGGACATATGACTCGATTAAATGAACACTGGATATCATCAAGACCAACAGACATTATTGCTGCCAGAATGGTCATGCTGGGAACTAGCGACTATGATGACACACGCAGATCCTCAAACACCGGATAATCTGGAGCCTGAAGAATGACAGAGAACGCTGGGGGATTCCGAAGGTGCCGGAGGTGAAGTCTTTCGCTGCAGGCCACGCTCTGTTTCAACCGATTCGATCGACCAGTCTAAAGAAGGCAGATGTTGGTGAAACAATATGCGGAAAAGACGAAACAACAATGCACTCTCTCAGTCGACGTCTTGAGCGGTGGGCTGAGCACTTCAAAGAACAGTTCAACTGGTCTCCTTCGACAATTGCTGGAAGAACCCAGCAGACCCGAATGAAATATTGACACCAACCCGCTATCAGTAACCGAAATCCAGCGTGAGATTTCAATCCTGAAGCGTGACAAGGTACCTGGGCAGGATGGTCTTCACTCCACGTCCTTCAAAGAAGGTGGCGAGGTCCTGGTGGGCATTGAAAACCATTCCGCGAGTAAGGCAACCAGGCTGATGGCATCATGCGACGGCCGATGTTGCATGAGAGTAATGTTAGTTTTGAATGTCATGATTGTACGAGGGCTGGGATAATGCCAGGGCGCCCACACCTAGACAGGAGGACGATTAGAGTCCTCAACCAAAGCCTTTGGCTAAAAATACTAACCGCAAGGCGGGCAGTGCAAATGCATTACCATTTCTACGGAACAAGTCGCCGCATGTTCCCCCCCCCCAATCTGGAGGATCAGGAGACTGTGTTCGCCATTGACAACCTGGTATGAGACACTGAGTGTCGAAGGGACACCCTCCCAGTATAGCTCAGTGGGTCGTTGAGGTGCGCACACCGTCACACCACGGTATGGTTCAGTCCCTTCGTGACGCTAATTCCAGGAGAGAGTCAATCGAATACTCCGCCCCCACTGTCCTGTGCGGCGTTTTTCCGCAAAAGACTACGAGTATGACATCAAGTTGCGCGGAACCGTAAACTGTAATCAGAGTAAACTGATGTCATGAAATGTCCCAAGCAAACAGCATAAGAGCCAAAGGGCCCATCTAGTAGAAAATACAAGAAGTATCAACAATGAGATCTTGTTAGCTATTCTCGATGAATTCCACACTGTTGCTTCATATTATGGGAAGCGCTGAAAGAATCAGGCAACGACCGCACGGCAGCGGGGTCCCTTTTCGTTATATCTGCTGGTTCGCCAATCTGAGGTATCTGCTGCTGGTCCGCTCCAGTACCTAGTGTCGGAGAGAAAAGACTCATGGAAGGGAACACAATAGCC